ATGACACCCGAGGACTGTCAGGATGCCAACAGCCTGCCTGCCCAGGCAGCCCACAGGTGCTCGGGAGGGAAGGGGAGAGCTGTGCCACCTCTGTGGTCTCTCCAGCACCCAGCCCAGGACACTCTGCCAAGCCTGATCCTCTGGTTCTTCCCAGCTGGAAGGAGCCCAAGAGAGCGCTGTCCCTTTACTTAGGTGTTAATTTTGTCCTTTTCCACAGAAGTAAGAAGGCTTGTGTGAAGCCAGCCTGCACGCACAATACAGGTGGACAGACCCACTGCCGCCCGGCCCCCAACAGCATCACCGCATCTGGGGGTCCACCATGGACAGTTCCTTCCCTTGGGGTAACCTTGCCAGCAAGGGCTCCTTTTCCAGGAGCAGGTTGGAAGGGAGTCTACTTTGGGGCTAATAATCAGGAAATACTAAGCCCAGGGACTGGGGTAGGGGGTGACACACAGAGATAAAAAGTGGGAAAGAGGAGAGGGGAAATGGGGTCCTACAGACCACCCTCCTATGGCGCTAATGACAACAGTCATGATAGGAAGGGAATGTGTGGGTAATTACCCACTTGAGTCAACATGGCCATTTTATTAGTCTAACAGCCAGGCCTGAGGACAGGGCTAGACAGAATGAGAGGACTTGGGAGGGAACGCTAAGGAGCCAACCCAACCCTGGATGACTGTCCACAGCCCAGAAGGCAGAATTCCTCTGTCCAGCGTGACCTGTTAGTGCTGGGACCCCAGAGTCACACTGCATGGGGTGTGCTCCAGCTCCTCTGCACACCACCCGCAAGTGGTGACTTGGTTTCCCCATCTATCAAGGGGGGTAATGATGGTAGCCACCCCAGAGGTTTGAGGGTGAGTATTCAATGCAGGAAGACGCCTTGGCCGTGGGTATTGCCAAGTCTCACCCCTTCACGGAAGCACTCTGACTGCACCGAGCTCCTGGAGCACCGGCCATCTGGCTCACACAACTTCTACCTAATTATAGACTATCTTGAAACAATTAGGCAACAATTTAATACAGCACAATAAAGTGCTAAACTGAATTCCATCAAGCTCCTTCCTGTTTGGAAATACGCCTATTCTAAGCCCGGTGCCGGGCAGTGCACACCAGACACATACACAGATCTCAGCCCCGAGAGAAGGGTTCTGGCCCCGGTGCTCGACGCTCAGCTTGGGGCTCGCTATTTTCTCCTGTGGCTGGTGCTATCCTTCCACTAGGAAGCCCCTGTACCCCAATTTGAAGCCTAGCTGCATAGGAAAAATGCCATCCCAGCTCCGCAGAGAGAAGTACCCCTTAAGTTGTCTTTGCTCGCCACCTCCTGCCACCCTATCCCAGACCAGGAGGGCCAAGGCAGAGTCTGGGAGAAGGGGCCGATGAGGCCAGCTAGCTAGGACACTTGTGGGCTGCTCTGAAGTTGGGGGGCCCACAAGACCCCACGTGCACAGGGGTCCAGCCCAGATCTCCGGGCCCGGAGGCTCTTCGCGGTTAGGAATGCGAGTCAACGCAGAAGGGTTTATGTGCACTGGCCAGAGTTCTCTGTATGTGTCATGATAGAAATAGCCCTGTGCAGGCACATCTGACAGAATGTCGAGTGAAAGGGGCTATCGGGAAGGCTTCAGGGAGGAGGTGGGGTGGGAGGACCGGGACTTGGATGTGGAGCAGGGTGCAGTTGGAAGAAGCTGAGTGAAGCCATTCGTGCTGTGGCTATGGGCCAGGCTGAGACCGTGCCTGGGGGCTCCTGCCTCAGCTACCCTCAGCCCCCGTGACTGGGGTCTTTTCCCTGGGATGTCCTGAGGCAGGGGGTGCAATGCTGCTTACCCAGCAGGACCAAGACCACCAAGAGCACTGCTGCCTTCCACTGCCCTCTGAGTGGTCACTGGGCAAGCGGGCAGCTGGCCAGGCCAGAGGGGTCAAAGCACTCAGCTGGCCAGGGAGGACAATGCTCCCCCTCCCTTCCCCTTCCCCTCCCCATCTACTTTTCCCAGAACTGTAAAGCTCTGTGGGGGGAGGGGTGTGTGGGAGGACGGGTGTGTGGAGGGTTTCTCAGTCAGTTACTGCAGAAGTATATAAACTACTTTCATGCCCCCTCTCCTTCTACAACCCCTCCCCCACCCCGTCTCCCTTTTCCCTCCCTGCCACACAGAACTCTCAGACCCCCCTACTCCCTGCTCTTCTCAAGAGAAAATTCTCTGACCATTCCGAACTGTGAATGGGTCTATGATTCCAAAGGGTATTCCCTGTCTGGAGATTAATTTTCAAAGACAGTGCCAGGGGAGGACAAGGTTTAATCCAAAGGAATAAATCTCTAAGGGAGAATTCAGTGGCATTGAAGTTTGCTCTTTTACCAATAGACTTTACCAGGTCCCTGCTTCATTCCTTCTTTTATTCAAGTAACACTTATTGAGCACCTACTGCCTGGCATGTGCCACACTGGGTGCTGAGAACTCAGATGGAGGCCCAGTCGCTGTCTAGTGGGGAGACGGAAACACGAACACATAATGGGAACATGATGAGACCTGCCAAAGAGCTTCCTGCTTCTTCAAAGCACCCATTTAAATAGAAGCACTAGCTGATTAAAAATTATTCCTATCTACTCATTAAAGCAGTTCCCCGAGAAGCTCATTGGACAACATTTATAGACTTAGACTTGAAATTCATAAAGCTATATGTCAATGTGTGTTTCATAACTCGCCCACTTTCTAGTTCGGGCTGGCCCTTCCCCAGCTTGTGTCCAAAGAGAACATAAATGTCCTTTGTGATCCACTTTCCAGGTGGGTCTTTGGGACGTGCTCCTTCTCTTGTGGCTCCTGGTTACTGGGTCATTTCTACGATTTATGGGTCATTTGCTTTCTTGCCCTTCTTTATCCTCTGGTTATATAATAATGGTACCTTCTGACTTCCCTTCCAACTGTGTTGATAATGAATGACGCAGGTTGTACCATACTTCAACACATCACACAACTACACACAGCAAAACATGGCACGTGCTGAGTTACTAGTAGGTGAATGATATCACCACCTCGTCGCTGCTCTGGCACGGAGGGCGAGCCCCGGGATGACGGACCCCACTCCGCAGAGCCCTTGCCATGGCGACCCAGTCCCGCCCTCCCCGAGCCCTGCCAGTCCGCTGCTGGGGCCCTGCCCCTCTGAGGAGGGCGGACGCTGCTCCCACACCAGGTCAGTTCTCACAGATGTGGGTAATGTGGGGGTCAACCAAAAATCCGGGTCTGAGGTTGGAACTGTCCCAGAAAAACTTGGGATGTGTGGTCACTACATTTCTAAGGGGGTCCTTGGCCAAATGATGGCTCTCAGGAAGGAACTCACTTCAGTTGGTGACAACGTAGAATAAAGGTGCGTTAGTCCTCAAACCAAACTGAGACGGCCAGGCTCTCTGACCCGGAGGGAGCCCCGGACAGGAGGGGGAGGCTGACCCAGTCACTGAGAGAGGAAGGGAGAGACAGGGGAGGGACGGGAGGCCGGTGGTAGAAAGAAGGGACGTGGAGGAGGAGAGAGGCAGAAAATAGGGACAGAAAAAGAAATGTGGTCCACGAAAGGGTGGCAGGAAGAAAGGGAGAAAATGGATGTGATGAGAGAGGCAGACAAATTAGAGACATACGGCAGAAAGAGGGAGGAGAGAGAGAAACTGCCGGCCGTTGGCAATTAGAAATAGTACTTGTGCAGTGGCCTCAGCCACTGCCCAGGGTCAGCTTCCCAGAATGGCCCCCTCCTCCTTGAGCTCTGTCCTGAGCCCCCCAGGGAGGCAGAGGCTTGCTGACTGATCTAGGCCACGCCCCATGTGGGTGGGCGGGCCACACAGCACAAGGGCCAACACTGGAGCCTCAATACTTGGAAGGGGCAACTCTGGACTCCTCACTGTCCCTGGGTGACATCCAGGGGCTGGGGGCTGGCCAGAGCTTCCAGCACACACTTGTAGAAAGAACTGAGCTCCTAAAAGGCCAGAATAAGACCCTGATCCCAGTTCATGGCCTGCAGCCTCCACACCCTGAGGCCTGTCTGCAGACACCTCCCCAAATGACTTATTTTATATTGGAACTATCTATTTTCTTTTCCAAAGCATTGAACAAAGTCATACGTATTAGGGGTCCAAGATAAACATACTACTTCTCTGTAGGGTCAGTTTCATGTTTTGGTGTCAATATTAACAGCAACAGGCCTCTTTCCCAGGGAAACAGATTGAGAGGTAGCCTGTACTTAGAACTGCAAAAATGAAGAAATAAAGCTATTTAACCAGCCCCTGGAAACCCTTGGCTGGCAGGTTCCGGCCACACCCAGCTCCAAGCAGAGAGGGCATCCTGCCTTGTCAGAGAAAAGTCCCCGCAATGCCCTCCCTGCGGTGAGTGCAGCCCGCCCGAGAACACTCCATTTTCATTCATTCAGCAAACAATCACTGAACTCCCACTGCCGAGCATGCGCAGGGCCCTTAATCACTAATTTTAGCTCCAAACGCAACAACAGATCAAGAAGAAATAACCACGTGATGGTACGAATGTCAAATCTCAGTGCCATCTTGATGGAAACAGTCCTTCCCCAGCCAAGGTCATCCTCCCTGGTGGGCAGAGTAGGAGCAGCCTTAGCAGCGGGATTTCAGGGGAGCAGGGAGCCCATGGCTGACACCCACCCCTGATGCCACCCCCACACAGCTATACACACTTGCAGGCTGATATCCAAAGTCCTTGCAGCAGGTATAGAGCCGATGCCCCACCCTCACATGGAGGCTTGAGACCCAGGCTAACCCTCTCCAACCCTCCCCTAACAGAGGGGGGCCGGTGACTCCCTACTTTGTTGTGGTTGGACCCTAGCCCTCACCCCTCATGTCAAAGGAGACAAGTCAAGATCCCAAAATGCAGTGAGCTTTGAGCCACTGTGCTGAGCTGGCTTCTTCCCTGGGCAGCTCTGGGGATGAGCCACGGGGCGGGGGCTGTAGGATCACCCTAGGACAGCCTTCCCCCTCCCTGTTTATTCGCCCGGGTCTGTACCTGGAGCTGGAGTCACTGCCGCTGGGTGACTCTGGGTCGTCCGTGACATTAAAGAGCCCCGTCCAATTGGCCAGCTGGTCGTCACTCTGCCAACCAAACTGGAGGCCTCTGGCAAGAGAACGAGGCAGTTGGTACTCATGCTCAGGTGCTGGGTTAAGCCTGCCTACCAGAGAGCCACATAGTGTCGTGTGCCAAGTGACACATCGCCTTGATCTCACACTTAGTGGAGACGAGGGTGATGTCCAACCATGAGGATGATGATAATGAACCTTTGCAGTATTCTCCGCTTGTCTATCCAACCCTCATTGCACCTTTACTGGCAGAGCTGAGGTTATACATGGGACACACAGGGAAACTGAGGCTTAGCCCAATCAAGGTCACAGTGTCCTCCTACCTCCCATGTGGTGTGTCCCTCAGTCCCTGCCTCTAGAGACTTACACCAGAAGAGCTCTCGATTGCCAGCACTGTCCTCAGAGGCCAGACACACTGCAGAGCTTTTAATGAAATCTAGGTTTCCAACACGGAAGGACACGCCTCTGAGTTTAACACAACGGACTAAAAACACATGGTTATCTCTGCTCCCTCCCCAAGTCTGGCTGAAATGATAGCGAAGGAGTAAATAAGGACATGAGCTTGGGGACAGAGATGGAAGGGGGCTAGCGACAACATTTGGGGAGATGAAAAGCAAGTGGGTAATTGCCTTAGACCAGAGAGAGTGGAATCCTGACTGTTTGTAAGAAGAAAATCTATTTGCCTTGCACAGCTCAGGAAGTTAGGGATGGTCCCGTAGTACCCTCGCTTCCCCTTAACAACTCATCACCTTTGCTCTCCTTGGACCATTTAGACTGTAACACACCCTGGCTGAAACATCCAATAGAAATCCAACCAGACATTAATACTTCATGTTCCCACAAAGTACTTCGCTTCCAGCAGGGCAAAGCCAGGCCTCCAGGGGAATGGGTAAAGCAGACTGAGGTGGACGCCCTGCCTGCCAGGGTAGGTGCCCTGAGCTTCGGCCCCTGCTGCCACATGGGAAGGCAGGTCCCCACAACAAAATGCCACTCCGTTCAGTTTCCCAAAAGATGCTGGAAAGTCAGACTTTTACTCTCCCACATGTTCAATGCTGACCATTCATTCAAACTTGAAACACAGTGCAGACCAAATGCCCCTTGCAGCCTGGGACCCCCACTGGCAGCCCCTGTTGATATCATCTTGCTTGATCCTGACCTCGGTCTGAAAAGGAAGACAAAGTGGGCCTCAGGCATCATCATAGCTGAGGAAACTGAGGCAGACAGTGGGAAGTGACTTCTCAGCCAGCTCGAGGCCGGGAACCCAGGAGTCCTGAGTTCCAGTCAGTTCTTTGGCTACCACAGCTCTGGCTCCGGTCCCAGGGGTCAGCTGCACACAGCATGCCTTGGGGTCGTCCAGGTCAGCGACCTCAGCCTTCGGCTCATGCACAAGAGACATGCTCACCACTGCAAAGGGCACGCAGAGGGGGCGCCCAGGTGAGAGCCCCAGGGAGCTCTGCCCATCACCGTCCCTTTCCCTCCCACTCCACAGAGCAGGTTACAGAAACGCAAATGACTGCGCTGGTGTTATTACAAGAATAACCTTGAGTTGGCTCTATTTGAAAAACATAAAAGTAAAAGGAGAAAATCATCCACAAAACATCGGTACTTAACTTTCCTGAGAGGATAATCTATTGCATTATTCATTTGTCTTTTCCTTCCCCCACTCCAAGAAGGTAGCTTGAGTTTTTTCTCTCTTACTGTTGGGGAGGGGGGTTGCTGAAAGAAGTCTAGGCCATTCTCGGGAGAAGCAGGAGAGCCCTGGCGCCCGGGAGGGCTGGGTGAATATGGTGAGCCCACAGCTGGGCAGAAAACTCCTCAGGCCCAGGAAGTCCCCCTGCTGTGGTGGCTTGGGGTTCGTTCCCTAGGTCTCCCTTTAAGTGGACAGCAGGACCCAGAAAGACTGGAGCTTAGGGACCTCAGGAGGCTGGATCCAGGGCTCTAGAAGCCTCCAGAGAGCACTGAGCAGATTGGCTGAGGCTGGGGTGGCCTGGGGAGTCCCCTCAATCTTTGTTCCCAGGAGCCTCCATGACCTTCGCACGAACCTGAGGGGGGCGGAAGCCTCCTGGACCTTAGACTACATTTCCCACCAGCTGGATGAGGTGCAGCCTTTTTTTAATCAAAGGAAAATGAGGCAATGAGCCATTTCCTTCCGACCAAGCTTGCGAAATCAAATGCATGAACGCTCTTCTGTGATTGATCAGCAGGTGTACCTCACAGCGAACCGAGGATCTCTCCTTGATCCATTCACGTTCTTTTAATTTTATTATAAATGTGTAAACATCACATATTTATTGTGTTGTCTTATTCTGTATTTATGGCACAGCCACGCCAGACTGGGTGCTGGGGTTCAACAGGGAACAAACTGACCAGAGCCCCGCCCCAATGACACTTTGTTTCTACCAGAGGGACACCGATGTATCCCCAGGGCCACGCGCCATGCAAAGGGTCGGATGGTGGACACGCTGTGGGAAAAGTGAAGGGGGACGGGGGAGAGGAGTGTGGGGTGGGTGAGGGGTGCTACTCCACAGAGGGTGGTCTTCTTCCTGAGAAGGGGACGTCCCAGCAGGACACGAGGGGGTGCTGCGGGAGCAGGTGCCCCGGGGACGAACGCTCCGGCAGAGGACAGGGCCAGCAACAGCCCTGGGGCAGGTGTGTGCGGCTTATTCTGGGGCTGGCAAGGTGGTCCCTGCAGTTGGGGCTGCGGGAGTCAGGGCCAGGTGGCAGGTGCTGTAGCATCAGTTCAAGGAAGCAGCGCCACCCTTCTGTAGTCCCTCAAAACCTTCTAGAAGGGAGGTGGGCCTCATCTCTTGAGGAGCAAAGACCTCAGCTGGGGCACCCGGGAGTCTGTGAGTGCTGGGCCCTTCCTGGGGCGCCCATATGGCTCTCCTCCACCTCCCACAGTCCTCGGCTCTCCCAGGTCAGAGTGGAGGGTGGTCAGGAGACACCTCTCCGAGACGGTGCTGGGACCTTCCCGCCCAGACTGAAGGGAACGGTCTGCCCGCCGGGAAGTCTTCTCAGTGGGATGAAGGGGAGTAACTGTCCGTCCGCGTCCCCCTGGCCTGGCCCGCTCCTGACTCACTAGTGACTCACGCTATTTCCCTGTGAAGCAGCAGATGCTAACGTTCCCCCAGAAGAACCTCAGGGGGAAAGGGGAGTGGGTTCACCCCCAGGATTCTTCTGGGGGCCCTGCACTGGGGACAACAGAAAGGATGCTGCGGGGGAGAACATCCCGAGGGAGGAGAGGAATGGGGGCCTTCCTCAGGCTGCCCCCCAGCCTCTCCACCCTCAGAGGGGAAAGGAGGAGAGACAGAGGCCTGGCCTCCTTGAGAGTCCCCAGGCCCGGGACCCAGGGTGCTGGTGAGCAGACAAGCCTCCCCCCCCCCCCATTCTAAGGCCATCCATGGTGCTGCAGAAGCCTCTGGCTAAGAAGTGGCTGGGCAGAGCCCAGGGGAGTCCAAGTGCTGGCAGTGCCAAGGCAGAGGCAGGGGAGGGTGTGCACGGAGTACCCGGGCATGGGAGGGGTCCCGAGAGAGAGACCAGACAAGCAGGCACTGCTCTGGGGCCACCTGTCCACCCCCAGCCTCTGAGGAGCCTGCCCGCCCTGCCAGGCCAACCTCCAAACAGCCCTGCCCCTTGGCCTGACGGTCCAGACCTCCACTGCCTGCCCAACCTCCCCTGGGGGCCAGAGCCACACGACTGGGCACCCAACTCCTACGAAGATGTCAGGCCCCTCCAGCTCCTCTTTGTTAAATATTCGGTCAACATGGACTTCAAGGAGGAGTACACGCCAGCCTTCCGGCTCTCCCCTGGTCTCAGGCCCCAACTGTGATGCTACCTGGCTACTCGCCACCCTGATTACTGTCTCCTCTGAAACCTACAAGATGTATAGTCTGTGCCACACAATTACGAATGTATTTTACATTGTCGTACGTATTTTTTATTTTTGTCTCTTTCAGTGTTCTGGAAAGTCCTTAAGGACTTGAATCATACCTAATAATTCTTTAGTAACATCTCCTCTCCCTCAACACAAAGCTGAATGGGTATTTCAGGGACGTTCCTTGATGGTTAGAAAAAGTTTGGGACTCCCTTTTTATGCATCCATTCATTCAACAACTAATGTCAGGCACTGTGCTAGGTCTTGGGCATTCAGAGATGAATAAAACATCTCTTAAAAGGGTCATGCATAAGCTGTGTGACTTATACTAGTTCCTTACCCTCTCTGAGTAAGTATTAAATGAGGATGATTATATCTTAACAGGACTCTTGTGAGGATTAAATGATATAATCCTCATTTGGGATTATCTGCTTAGGTCAGAGCCTGGCTCATGAATCCTTAGTGAATGTTAATTATTATTATTATTATTATTATTATTATTATCATCATCTGATGAATCCATCACCTGTATTTGTGTGTGTGTGCAGAAATCTCTACACATAGGGTTAAGAGAATTACTGGGTAAGAGATTATCAGATGAGAAATGAATGAGCCTGGGTAAATCAGGAGAAGCTGGATCCTTTAAGAGGTAAAAATTTCCAGAAAGTATAAATGTCAAAAAGAAGAAGACCAGAGAGAGGGATGGGCAAGGGAGCAGAGTGAGAAGGAAGCTCTGTGGGCCTGGAACGGGACGGGAAGGTAACATCCACACCTGCTGTAGGCTGGGCGCAGCAGGCAGGGCCAGGATGAGACGAGGCAAGCAAGGCGCCCAGGACACCAAGTTGAGGGTGGTCCCACTCTCAGACCGTGAGAGGACAGGGTCGACGCCCAAGAAGGAGCCTCTTGGTGTCCTCCTTGCCTCACCCTAGTCCCAGCCCTGCAGCAGGCACTCAGTAAGAACTTGCTCTGACTAGCAAACTAGTTGTTCGGGCAGCACAGGACAGACCCGTCAGCACAGGCGGCCGTCAGCTCAGCTCTTTCTTCCTCTCTGGGGCACCTGCACCTGCACCTCCACCCCGCTAGGCACCATCCTTCCAGACCTTCCCCTGCACTGATCCTTTGTCCCATGGTCCCCATCTCCTGGTGCTGTGCCTGTCTCTCAGGGCGGTGGAACCAAAGTCTCTGTCCCTGGGTAAGGAGACAGTTGGCTCAGCGGTTGACAGCACTTTGAATATACACTTTGGATACAGCACAAAGTCAGGCTGTACTTTTCCTTGACCCAGTTTCTTATCCTGAAGTCTCAGGCCTGCACCAGCCACATGCAGGTAGCCCAGATCGACACCCTTGAGGTGCGGGAGAGAGGAAAGCTGGAAGGAAGAGTGTATAGGAGAGTCCTCTCTGTAGAGGCAGGACAAAAGAGCCCAGCCTCAGCTCCTGTGCCCTGTGCAGTCACACGGAAAGCAAGAGGACAGCGCTGGGCAGAATGTGCTGAGTCCAGACAGCACAGGCACTGTGAACTCAGAACCGGCTGGGCACTGAAGGAGAAGCAGGATTTGGCCTGGCAGAGAGGCAGCTGGGAGGGCACGGCAGTGGGACACCGGGTGGTAAAGGCACAGAGTCAGGACAGCTGTGATGTGGGTGAGAGAGCGCTGGCTGACGGGCGATGCTCTCCTTTAAGAGAGGGGCTTCAGGCACAGACTGACCAGAGGGCGTGAGACTTTTGTTTGGGGAGGGGAGGCGATGGAGACTTCCAAGGACTTCTATTTCTGGCAAAATGGCAGATGGCAAACCCTCTGTGGCAGGTGCCCCTTCAGGAGTGAAGCATTTGTTCCTCACCTGCTGGGGGTGCAGGGAGCTGGCGGCCCCCAGCTCTGGGCCCCTCTGGGAATCTCCTGTAAGGAGAGTCCACTTGGCCAAGGTCACACCCTCTTCCAGAGGCAGCCCGCATCCAATGACTGAAAACAACACAGAGGGCTAAAGGCCTGGCCTCGGCACCTCCAGGCTACACTCCAGGGCCCCCTGTGGGGTGACCAGGGCCTGCTCTGGGACTGCATGGCTGCTTGGTCTCCCTTCTTCACGTGTGGGTCCCAAAAACACATCTTACTGAACATGCCACTCTAATCTCCGGTCCCCTGCTTTCCAGGGAACCCTCTCCGCAACATCTCCCACTAAAAAAACACTTAAGATTAAAATGTGTATAAAATGCCTTCTTAAATGGATGCATAATCTGACAAGGAAAGAAGAAGTAGATGAGTTCTAAAGCCAGTAGCTGCCCCGGGCATCTGCCAATCCGCATAATTCATGCTTCCCTATAATGGCCATTATATTATTACAACAAGCAAGTGCTACCCAAACAGAAGCTGTCTCCCTATATTAGACAAAATGTCTCAAAGCATTACTAGAAATAAAGAAAATCACTACATTATAAAAGATTCAGTTCATGAGGAAGACAATATATCTAAAATCTGATAATATCGCTTCAATATGCATAAGGTAAAAATTGATAGGAGAAATCGATAAATCCACTATCATGGACAAAGATTTTATCACACATCTATTAGAAATTGATAGATCAATCAGAACCAAAAAAAAAACCCCAGGATACAGATGATTGAAAAATAGAAAACCACTTGATTGAACAGACATGTAAGAATACTGCACTTAATAATGAGAAAAATCACATTTTTTCAAGTACATACATACATAATACCTACAAAAATCAACCACAAAGCAAATCTCAACAAAGTTCAAGGTATCAGCATCAGAAATACCATGTTGTCCTACAATGCATTTGAGCTCAACATTCAAAAGGACAAAAAAAAAAAAAGTACTTGGAAATTTTAGAACACCTTTAAATTTATGAGTGAAAAAAAAATGAATGATAATAGGAAGTAAAAAAACACTTGGAATTCAAAATAATGGAAGTATTTCTGGCAGTTACTCTGTGTATGACCTTGAACAATTACTTGACCTCGCTGTGCCTTAGCTGCTTCAACATAAAATGAGAACAATAATAGTGTCTATGACTTGTTACAATTCAGTATTATGCTATACACAAAGCACCAGGACCTGGCACAGAGTAATGCAATACAATTCTGAGTTGTTATCATCATCATCCCCTTACTTAAGGGCTATAAGTAGAGATGTATTTAGAGGAAACTGTATAAACTTAAAAGTTGACATTAGAAAATAACAAAGACTGCAAATTAAAGAGATAAGCATCCAACTTTAGCAGTTAGAACAAGAACCTGGTTTGGGTCCGGGTGGCTCCACAAAGGACTAACCAGTTGTTAGGCCAAGCACTGCAGTGTGGGTAGGGTCAGACACGGGAGAAGTGAGAGGAGCTGGTGCCACATCTCTGCACCTTTGCTGCTGCCTTCTTTAGTTCTGGATGTTCAAGGACCCACTTAGGTTCCACCTCCTCCAGGAAGCCTTCCCTGACTACTTCAGCCCAGGGGTGCCTCCCTCCTCAGCCATTTTAATATTTACTTCATAACTGTCTCATTTGTGGTCATTTTGTTGCCCCAAACAAAACTCAATCCCCCTGAACACCAGGAGCACATCATTCTGGCTCCCTTCCAGAATCAGGCATATACAAGTTTTGCTTGTTTGATTGAATTAACCAAGTCCCTGGAGTAAGGCGGGGGTGAGGGATCTGAGACTTAGGGGTCCCCCTCTCTGTGAGGGAGGATGGGAAGCAACTGGCATGCTGCTGAACTCCGGGCAGCTAGCCCATCCACCCACCCAGGGCCGGGGAGGGCTTGCCAGAGCAGCAGTTGTAGTTGAGCTGACATTTGCCATGGTCATGGATATTCTCCCACGTTTGACAAGGCAGCAGGGATCCCTGCAGCCCCTGCGGTTCTGGATAGGCGCCAGCAGGGGGCAGGAACCCAGCGCCACCCTGCTGAGGAAGGAGTGCAGCAGGGGAAGGCTGCAGCAGGCCGTTTGGGGCCCAGTGTCCTTGCATAGGGACATGGGGGGGGGGGGGGAGGCAGTAACCAAAAGAGGAAGCAGGCCCAATGGGCTCCAGCAAGCTAGGAGGGTCTCTGAAAATGTCCTTTAAAGCCGCCAGCACCACGCTCATCAACTGCCTTCCACCAGGGGAGAACACTCTCTGGGAAAGGCAGGAGCAGTAGCTGCCTGGAAGTAAATGTCCAGGACATGGGGCTTCATATTCCCCAGCCCTGGTACATGGAAGGGGAATGGACTACTGGCTTTCCTACTTCTGAGCGCCAGACCCGCAGCAACCCTCTCCCACTCCAACGTGCAGCCCAGATTGGGGGCCACAGATGACTGATGTGAAACCCAAAGGATGAAAGAGAACAACTGTTTTATTATCTGGAAGTTCAGAGAAGAGATAGGATGTTTACATAGCTAGAGAGGCATTTTGTTTTCTATCGGCCTGGGGGAGGGGCGGTGAAAGTAGGGAGGCACTGGCGACAAAGGAAAAAACCTCCAGCCCAAAGGAGAGGTGGGCTTTTTGCACTGGAGGTTCTGTGTGGGCGGAGCTATCGTAGGGCCAAGCACATCCCAGGCCCTGACACCAGGCAGAGTAACCCGAAGCGTTTCTCCTCAGCCTGCAGAGCGGGCAGAAGGGACTGAGGCTGGGCCCCAGCTTCCGAGGGACAACTCCTACTGCTGTTTCTCTTAATGGAGTTTGGTGGAGGGGTGGGGTGGGGTGGGATAGGGTGGGGTAGGAGCAGAGCTCAACCGAGGGAGGGTTAACTTCAGCTGCAGCTCCAACCTTCTGTGTAAGGATGAGAAAGGACCGTAGGTTTCAGAAGGGATCCGGTTGTGAGTTTCACAGACCCCAGGTTTGTAAATTCACTATCCCTGTCGCGTCGTCTCGGCCCACTATCACCCTACCTATCCCGACGCTCCTGGGGAGGGGGAGATGCTTTTTCTCCCCAGGGTCCCCACAAGTTCAGTACTCGCAAGGCAATCCACTCTGGTTTTGAGCCTCCCACTCCCGGGAGCCTCCCCTCCAAACAAATGGCCACGGCACTGTAGATTTGGGGGACACCAATCTGGCCCCTGAGGCCACTTGGGGCATTCAAATGGATTTATTATCAGCCTGGCCACTGAGAATTCTAATCTGTCCCCCATTTTCCACAACAGAACAAAGTTGTTGGGCCCCTCCGGCCCGCGCCGGGCAGGCGCTCTCTTCTGGCTGGGAGGAGAGATGCGCTTCAGAGCACCGCGGTGACCAAACCTAACGCGGCGGTGCTCGGGACTGAGTGCGGACCCCAGCGTCGCTCACCCCGGGGGCGCCCGGGTGGACGCTGCAGACGCCACCTGGGGCTCACCCACGGGCTCCATGCCCTCCCACCCGCACTCGGACTTTCTCACCTCTTGATGTAGTTCCTGCCATACAGGATCTGTTGCAGCAAAGTCACCAAGGCGAAGGCGCAGATGAAGATGAAGAGCAAAGTTCGGTTCCCCAACAAATCCCTGTTCGCCGAAGGGTCCGCGTAGCGCATCCTGGCGGCCGCCTGCACGCGGCGGGGCGTGGAAGGCGCTGGGCGCCTGGGGGCCCCGCAATCACGTGCGGGGCTCCGGGGCCCCAGGCGGCACACGACCGACTAGGCGGTCAGGCGGATGGGCACTTCTTGGGGCAAAGTTTCCGGCTGGCACGGCCGACGTAAGGGGCATCCAAGCACTAGGGCGGCGGGCAGGGCAGGGCTGGCTGCAGGGAGCTCGGCTGCGGCCCCGGGCCTTCCCTCCGATGCCTTCACCTCCAAGCGCCAGTGCCCGGCATCTGCCGATTTCCCCGAGAGGGGCAATGCCAGGTGCCCCAAGCGCCGGCCCGCCCCACTTGCGGAGGTGGCAGCCAATGAAGAGCGGGGCCCGGGCGCGGTCCGCCCGTGTGCCCGGAGCGGCGCGCACCGCCCCCTCTGGTCGGCCGGGATCGCGGGAGCGCAGCGCGGTGCTCTGCCTCAGCGGGCCAGGTCCGACCCCTGGGCCCGCAGCGCGAGAGCGCGAAGGCTGGCCTGCAGTTCTGCGGGTGGGAGGTGGGGGACGAAACGCCGGGACAGTCTGGCTGCCTGGCGGTGGGGAGGGGGAGGGGTGGGTCGGAAAACGCCGGGTTTGAATCGTGGAATTAAAGAAGGGGGCTGGAAAGGGAAGCCGCGGCTGCAGAGCTGGGCTTGCTGGAGGGGAACATTTGCATGCGGCGCGCTGGGCACTGAGTCACCGCCGTGGCTGCGTCCTCGCGCTCTCGGGGAGATTTCTCCGGAGAATGCGGAGCAAGGTCAGCCGGGCAGCCCTTCAAGGACGGCGCACGCCGCTCCTGCATGCTGATGGCCCAAAACGCCTAACTCCTGTGGGAAGGAAATTCAGGGGCTCCCGGCCTCCTCGCTCTCTCCAACTGCAGCTCTTGGCGGTTCGTCAAAGACCTTGTTGTCACCGAGACACTGGGACCTTGTCTCATCCCCGGAACCACTCGTAAATCTTAGGTCAGGCAGCTGGCCGCCTTCGAGTACCACAGTCCCCCAAAGCTTTAGTAAGTCACTAAGTAGAAAGGTTTGTGCTTCAAGAGTGCACACCAGGGAAAACAAACACAGAAATGCAATGCCAAGTCGTGCCTCTTCAGAAATCCTAACCCCTAAATGCCTCCCCTTTCCTCCCACACCCTCCTCCCCACGCCGCCGGGCGCCAAGCGACAGCCCTGTCATCCTGACACCGCAGTCTCTGGCGCCTGGGGAGTCACGTGCCGCGGTGTCTCTACTGAGCCCTAGCTGGATGATTCTAGGGCGCCCCTTCCCAGGACCCTCCAGCTACCACGGGAGATTCCATAGTCAGGTCAGGGATTCAACTCCGAACTTGACCAAAACTCCAGGAGCGGCAAGAAAAAGAACTTTGGTGAAGTGCCCAGATTCCAATGCGCTGGCCTTGGCATTTAACAGTTTCCTCTTGAACTAGAAAGACCAAACACTGCATGGTTCAATCATGATTAGGGTTCCACCCATAACTTGCAATTCGTGTGAATTCACAAGATGGAAATGGATCCTGTACTATCCATAAAGAGTTTATGTATCAAATAAATGTTACCCGTGAGCTCACAGATAGGATTTTTAACTGATGGAATAAAACAAACGTTTAGATGTCCCATTATTATAAGAAACCTGATATTTGTTTGGTGTCTTACACATCAAACAGTGTTAGCTCTTGCATATACTAGTTAACTGGTGCCTCCTAGCCTCTGGCTAACCCATTTTATAGTGGAAAGGATCAAGGCTCATCCAGCCCGGTGTGGCTCAGCGGCTGAACTTCCACCAGTGCACCAAGAGGTCACTGGCTCAATTCCAGATCAGGGCACATGCCCAGGTTGTGGACTCAATGGGGGGGAGAGAGGCATGCAGAAGGCAGCCAATTGATGTTCTCTCTCATCAATGTTTCTATCTCTCTTTCCTTCTCCTTTCCTCTCTCTCTAAAAATCAGTAAACAAACAAAAATAATAATATAATGATACAAAAAAGAAAAAGGATCAAAGCTCTAGTTGCCCAAAGTAGCTCAGCTAGCAAGAAATCTTTAGAGTCAGAGATGTGGCTCTTTCTTCCATACATGCAGGCAGGTCTGGCCTCATGGGAGTGGGACCAGTGCCTACTCTTCGCCCCCACTCTTGCCTTAATGTTTCACTCTTGCTGTCTCCCCATTCACAGTCAGTTTTGAACAAGGAGGCCCCACACTCACTTTGCACTGAAAAGACCAAACACTGAATGGTTCAATCTCATGATTAGAGTTCCACCCATAACTTGCAATTCATGTGAATTCACAGGGTGAAAATGGACCCTGTACTATCCATAAAGAGTTATGTGTGAGTCCCACACACAGATTCAAGTTGACAGAATTTCAACTTTTTACCTATCTCCCCCCTCAGCTGCAGAGTTCATGAGGTCCCATCATCCAGGCAAGATACCCTTGTTTCTTTTCTTATCCTTCTTATTCTCCACCCCATCGGGTACCCAATCTGATAGCTGTCTTTGGATGCATACTTCCTTAGAAAAAAAATATATTTTAAAGTAATAAATCCAGCCCTGGCCAGTTTGGCTCAGTGGTAGAGCGTCAGCCCGTGGACCAATGAGTTGTGGGTTTGATTCCAGCCAAGGGCACGTACCTTGGTTGCAGTTCGCTCTGGCCCTGGTTGGGTCTTGAGGGAGGCAGTCAGTCGATGTGTCCCTTTCACGTTGATGTTTCTCTCTCCCTTTCTCTCCCTCTCTTTCCCTCCTACTCTATCTGAAGATAAAAAGAAAAATATCCTCAGGTGAGGATTAAAAAAATAATAAAGTAATAAATCCAGGTTATTCTAAAAATGTACAGCTTGTGTTTTTATAAGCTGAGCATGCCCATGTAACCAAAACAAAGACTAAGAAACAAAAACATTACCAGCCCCCTCGCCACACCGAACTCTCTCCTTTTCCAATCACCATGGACTCCAGAGGAACCACTATTTGCTGTCTAACTCCAAACAGCAATGCTTCCTGTTCTTGTATTTTATACAAATGGAATCATACATTACATATACTTGTGTGTCTGACTTCTTTTGTTCCCCATCCATTGTGAGATTCACCCACATGTTATGTGTGGTAGGCAGAGTTCTAAGATGGCCCCCAAGACTCCATCAGCCTCTGTTGTACACACACCTTCTCCAAGTTAGTCAGTCGAACATTAATCTCGGTCCTGCTGTAAAGGCATTTTGCAGATGAAATTAAGGCCTAAATTAGTTTTTAAGGAGATTGTTCTCAATGGACCTGATCACACGAGCCCTGGGCTTCTCCTGGTGAAAGAGATTTGAAGAATGAGAAGGATGGACACGAGGAAGTTCTTCATTGCTGGCTTCACAGACAGAGGGCTCTACATGGCAAGAGATGCTGCCGGCCTCCAGGAGCCTAAATCGGCCCCTGGCTCACAGCCAGCAAGGAAATGAGAGCCAGTCCTCCAATCACAAGAAAGACCCTGAATGCTGTCAACAACCTGAATGAACTGGAAGAAAAGTGTGGATGAAAAAGGGCCACACACTAAACCTGACACGCTCAGGGGAGGCCTGTGTGGTGGTCTTACAAACTCAGAGAGAAAAGAACCACATAGGATGGTCAGAACATAAAAATTCCTAACTGAAAGCCTGTCATGGCAGTAGTCACCCCTAGGCCTGTAGCATCCTTGACAAAGGCCAATCTTTCTTTTAAGTGAGCCTTTCTGTTGTCTTTTTGCCCCTAAGATAGCATACCCTTGGAACATCAGAGTAATTTTCTTTTCCAGACCCTTCAGCGCACAACCACCACACCAGAGCGGGAGACCACAGAACTCCTGTTATCTTGTTCCCCCAAATACCATCTCTATGTGCTGTAAATGTTCGTTGTTAACTATCCTATACTCACCCATGTAAAATTAGTATTTGTCTCTCCATTTTACTCTTTATCCACTCTCAGAGACTTTCTCCCACCTCCCTAATCTACCACCAGTGGATTTCATGTAACCCCTTACATCTCCGCCTTTGACTCTAAAGTATAAAACACACGTGCACAAAAGTCCCTGAGGTGGCACTAAAGGTTAAGCATTGAGATAATCTGGCTGAGGATAAGAGCTGAGATAACTCAGGAATGGGGAAAAAAAATGAGTTGCTGGTTTTTCATTTCAGCTTTTCAATTGGAACTACTTACTGTGAGTCTGAACAAAACTTTTTCCTGGATAAATGAAAGTCTGAACTTGTTCAGCTTCGAAGATAAGGGGCATTTTACTCCTCCCAGCGTGGACTTCAGGTTATCTTAGGTGACTAAGAATCTATTTGGAGATATTTGAGGGTACCCCTCAAAATGAACAGTGCCCCATAGGGAATTCCAACACAACTATAATTAAATAATTGACTCATCCAGGGACACGCACATGAAGGGTGGTTACCTAGCGCTCCAAGTCCTCAGGGTTGTATTAGATAGCTAGGGAGAGAAACTGAAACATGTAAGAGGATTTGAGCGATGCCAGAGGTGACTGTCCCTTGAAGCTCAACCCATTGCAGGAAACGCCAACCCATTACACAGTATCCCTAGAAATTTGTTCAGACTCTGCAGATCTAAAAATAATACTAAAATTAACATGGGAAATCATGCCCCCAAGGCCAAAAGACCCCAGATCCCAGGCCTCCATTACTACCCCTGCAGATGTGTACATAGGGAGCCTTTACTTGCAAGTACTTACAGAAATGGGAAGATTTAACTAAAATATCACTCTTTTATTTTTCTTTTTTCTTTTTTTTTTGTCCTTGCCTGAGGACATTTTCTTGCATTTATATTCAGATAGAGGGGGAAGGAGAGAGGAGGGAAGAGAGAGAAACATCAATGTGAGAGAGACACATTGCCGGTTGCCACCCATCGAAACCCAATCAGGACTGGGGACAAACTGCAACCGGGGTACACGCCCCCAGCGGGAATCAAACCCAGGACTCTCCGGTCCACAGACCAACGCTCTAACCACTGAGCCAAAACAG